GGTTGGAGGAGGCTTTGAGCAACCTGGTCTAGTGGAAGGTGTCCCTGCTGCTGGCAGGGGGGTTGGAACAAGATGATCTTTAAGGTCCCTTCCAACCCAAACCATTCTATGAATCTATGATTCTATAATTCTGTTTTCAACAACTTTTTTTTATGGTGGTACATGCGGTCCCTGAACTGCAGACCCTGTTTCCACCCCCACGGTGCTGTGCAGCGCTCCAAAAACCAGGATGGTCTCGGCAGCGCCCAGCCAGGAGATGAAAAGCTGGTGCCTCCTGCCATGAGCACGTGCCACCCTCCTGTGGGCCCTGGGGAAGGACATTTGGGCCATCTTTACCGCTTGGCTCTCCAGTTTTGCTCTGGGGCAGACAGTAGCTGATCGACCTTTTTAATAACAGACAAGGTCTTTTATGTGTCCGTTTTCCCTGAGCGCTGCTTTCTCAGCTGTTTGCTGGGGGTGTCTTCTTAGGACAACAGATTAAGAAAAGGCAGGGTCAGCTCACACAGAGATCTAACGCTGGTCTTCAGTTGTGTCTTATTTTTGTTCGCAGGGACCGACGGGGACACGAGCAAATGCCAAACATGCTGTTCAAATCCACTCCAAACCAGAAGAACTCTTGGTGTCAATATTGCATTTACAATAAATACCCACAGAGAATATTCAGGGATACCCTGGGGCTGCACCCTCAGCTCCTTGGTGTCAAGGAAGCAGAAGGGCCAAATGCCAGGAAGCACAACCCCAGGAACATCCCATCTAACTCCAGGTACCTCACTGGATAGCTAAGGCAGGGCAGAAAAACCCGCTGCTGGACCCATCACCTACAGTTTGTAACCAGAATGGGGACTCACCAGCACCTCCCTGATCCTGACATTACTTGCTGAATTGTGTTCTGACTACAAAAAACCACGGATTAAAACTTGCATTGAAACATTTTAAAGTATTCCCCATATACCATAAAAAAATAATCGATGGGGAGAGCCTCTAACCCAATCCTATCCATCAATGGCAATATATGGGAGAATTAAAACTGACAGCATTAGAGCTCTGCGATTGATTTATTGCTTTGTAATCAATCTTTCCTGATTTTTTATCCACTATAGGTTTTTCGCCAAATAAGGAGGACAAGGAGAGTGATTATAAGTGTAATAATCTATATATTCATTGACTATAATAATTCATCAGACATCAGCCTACTCATAAGCAGGACAAAATTTAAGACATTTATCAGTGTCTCTCACTGTTTATAAAATTATTACTTTAAATATTATTATCAAATGTTATAGCTTTGAAAAAAATATTTGGCAGAAAAATTCTGAACAGACATGAATAAACACTTGGAATTCCTGAAATGCAGAAATTCAGCCCTGGCTAAGAAATAATGAAATTAAATCAAAGTTTGTGCATATTTTCAAAAATTATGACACTGAATTGCAAGGGTGAAACTCTGGCATCATTCTGCAACAAGGCAAGATGTATGAAAGAGTTCAGAAGGTTTGTAAAAAGATAATAGAAGTTTAGGAATATCAGGAATAAATGAACTAGATAAGGCATGTTTTTGAAGGACACCACCTCATCTCAGCATGCTGAGGGCAACATCTCTCCACAGGTAACCCATGGCTTTACGCATGTCCTTCACAAAACTGAATCTGAGGACACAGCTGACTGCAGGGAAAGTAAATATTTCTCAAGCATGATTACTGACCATTGCTGGAAACAAGTCAGACAACGATATGGACCAGAGACCTGGCTGTGTTATTAATTCCCATATTGTTTGAAGAACAGTTTTAATCTGGGTGTGAAAACAAACGCAGTAACTTGCTGTAAGCACCATCGTTCAGTGTGACCAGAGACACTTTCTTGCTCTCACCATCATCTCCAACCCATGAGGCTCAGCAGGTTTCCAAGATGCAAAAGACACTTTAATTCCCCTTGGACTTCACTTGCATCAGCATCAAAGGGGAAAGGTGCAGCGTTCTTTGGTCACTCTGGGATGCTAAGATGGAGTATCATTCATATGCAATAAAAACTCCAATTACCTTTCACAACCAGGCTGCCCGTGCTGCTTGCCGTCCCGAAGTGGTTTGTTGCCACACAGGTGTAACTTCCTGCATCAGACTTGGTGACGTTCACAATCCGGAGGCTCCCATCATCCAGAACAGTGATTCTGGAAAGACAGCAAACACAAAAGTTTATATATATTTTTTTAAGTTAACATAAAACTCTTTCAAGTCTGCATTAATTATTGATGGTTTGAACAACAGACAGTCCATTGCCCATTACAGAGGGAGTTTAGCTGACAGAAATCTCTTAGGACGCAACTCATAAATACTGAATGCATCATTTACATCAGTTTTCCGTGTCTTTACTTGAGGGCAACTTTAATTTACACACCAGCAGCTTGTGTAGGTTTTACATCCGTCTGTACTTTGATATTCAGCACTCACCATGACAACCCTTGCAACGTGTGATACACAGGCTACATCTAAAAATCTCCCCGCTCGCTGCTTAACAATGTAAAAGCTTCTGCCGAACAGATGCAATGAAGCAGGTGTTTCATCGATGCTTTTTTTGTTTTCCAGAAGGCTGATGGCTTTTCAGCAAGGCTACCACACTGCCAAGCTCCCCCTCCATGCTCTCCACTTCTCTGCCTGCATGTGGTGGTTTCACCCCTTTGGTTTGCAGCCGAACACAGTCGCTCTCTCACTGTCCCCTCCACCCTCCAGGGAGTAGGGGAGAGAATTGGAAAGAAAAGAGCAAGGCGACTCAGGGGTTCAGATTAAAAACTATTTACTAATTAAAATAAAATGATAATGATAAAAACAGTAATAACAATATACAAATGAGCGATGCACAGTGCAATCGCTCACCACCAGCCTGTCCCAGTCAGCGATCCTGGGGCAGAGACAGTCCCAAAACCAAAACCCCAGAAGAGCGAGAGCCCGAGTGATCCCCAAGAGAATCCCCAGCTTTCCGCTCAGCCCTGGTTAATGTACTGACATGATACGATATGATATCAAACATCTCATTGGTACACCCACATGCCAATTTGGGTTTTGCTAATTACTACGCTTCCCCCCTCCCAGTCCTTTGCACCTGCAAACTACCCAAACACCATGACCTTGGACTTCCAGCAGCAACTAATAACATTAGTACCTTATCAACATTCTTCTCATAACGAGAAACCAAAGCACAGCTATTCTAACTACTAAGAAGAAAATTAACTCTGTCCTAGCAAACCCAGGACACTGCAGTATAACTCAGCCCATGGGGTTTATCTGCAGTTGTGCTTGCAGGTTAAAAAGAAGAAAAATCTAATTTCATTCCCATCCCCTCCTCCCATCTGTGCTCCCCATCAAAACAGTGTGTTTATCTGCAGCGGTACCTGTCTCAGGGATGGCACGTTCATTCCTGGGGTGATCCCCAGCCCCTCCTCTTGCACAAGGCCTGACTTCAGGCTTTCCTTGCTCTCACAATTAGCTTTGTCTCCCGTTCCACTTTCTTCTCATCTGCCCTAAGTCAATGAAAACAAAAAAACCCTGATCCTGCCCATAAATCCCATTGAAACATGAATGCCTTGTGTCCTGCGGAGGCATAATCTAAGGAGACTCCTGAAAAACCTTTCCCCCAGCCTAATATCACCTCTTTTGGCAAAATACTTGGTTGTCTGCTCAGGATCATATCTTGCAGCAATCTGCTTTCTCCCTTTCAGCCACTTCCAAGCCTGCACTGAAAATCTTGTATCAATTCCTGCCTTCTCCTGCTCAATTATTTCACAATTTAACTAATCTGAAAGAAAATGAAGAAGCCTTCCTGCATCCTTAATGCCAATCAAGCTCTGCGCGACTGAATTGAGAAATTAGGAGGAAACCAATTTGGCAAACAACACTTGCACCACTGCAGAAGTGCTCAGATGGCACTTCCCACCTCAGAAGCCTTTAAGAAACAGACCATATGAATCAGCATGAGCCCTTTCTTGCAGCCACGGGGCAACGCTGAGGCAGCTGAATAAATGACCAGGGTGAGACCAGGCGTGAACACAAGCACAAAGGACATCTGCCCATGCCAGCCATGGGGCTCCGCAGGCTCCTGCCAGCTGCAGCCACTGAGCTGAGCACGGTCCCCAGTGAGAAGCAGGAGACATCATCTCACCTAAGGGAGCTGGTGTGGGTGTCTTTTGTCATCCCGTGTTCTCTTGACAGGCACACACAGGTTACTTGGTCCGCACACATAGAGTTGCTTTGAAAAACGTGACAGTTTGAGTGTCTTTAAAATGACGGTACTGAGGGCGGATGGGGAAGATCACAGAATCCCAGAGTTGCCTCGACTGGAAAAGCCCTTTAAGATCATCGAGACCAATCATGAACCCAACACTGACAAGTCCCCGACTAACCCATGTCCCTCAGCACTATGTCTACATGACTCTTCAATCCCTCCAGGGATGGGGACTCCACCACTGCCCTGGGCAACCCCTTCCAATGCCTCAGAACCCTTTCAGCAAAGAAATTCTTCCTCACATCCAATCTCAACTGCCCTGGGTACAACTTGAGGCCATTTCCTCTTATCCTAAAGATGCTCTGACAGCAGCCACCAAATCCCCACTCTGTCTAGCCTCTCCCTGACCTGCTCTTGCAGCTGCACAACAACATCAGGCCAGCTGGCAGAGACCAGGGACAGAGGTTATATTTCACACATCAATAGCAGTGATTTTAATAGAAGTTTCTCAACTGGCTTATAGGTTTCCAAATTGTCGCAGTCAGTACCATTCAGTACTGTAATTTATTTTAGCAGGAGTCCAGTGCCATATATTTGCTCCTGCAGCAGTTGCTCCAGCTCAATAACTGGAAGAGAGTTGTATAGAGCTACTTGTTTCTTATCTTCACCACTATGTTGGCACAAATCAATGCACGTATTACATGAAACGGGCACTGGAGCACAGCGCTTGCCACACTGGCCTCCAGTGCAGCAGCAGCACCAGCAGCTCCCAAGGAATTATTTATTGCTGTTAACAATTTCAGGTCTTCGGAAAGAACAGTGCTCTTCTGCAAGCTGAAGGTGCCCTTGGCACACATTAAAATTCAAATCAATATGAACAACAGACCAAGATCAGCAATATGCTCCAGCTTGAGAAGGATCACCCAGCTCCAGCACTGCCCCTGCCAGGCTCCACGCTCACTCCCTCCAATTTTTTGCCATCCAAAGAAATCCAGAAAAAAAGTGATGTTTTACACTATTTCTGGAGAGTTGAGATTTTATTTTTATTTATATTTATATTTTATTTTTAGCCATATGGTTGAAACCTATTTAGTGGATAATCTCTTCTATGGATCATTTCAATTGTATCTGTTGATGAAGTTAGCTTTAATTTCAAATTCTAATGCCTTGTCTGTCTCTTCCTCATGCTCTTGATTTTCTTCTAAGCTGTCTTTATTCCCAGTGTAAAATTAGTTTGTAGTTAACGTGGACTGGATTGCTCTAGAGATGACCTTTGGATGAGCACAGTCAGTCCACCAGCAGCTTTGGCACATCTTGGGCAGTCAGTGCTGCCTTTATTTCCCTCCCTTTCTAAGCTGAAAGCCACGACTGCCTGGCTTTACAATTTGAGGACATGGACATCCTTTCACTCTGGTAACAAGCTGCAAAGAGTTCAGGCAAGATTTGCACCAAGTTCCCCAAACCCATTCCCTGAAGAGTCTCCGGGTATGTTAAATTCTCATCTGGTAATTAATTCCCTGCACACTCCTGTAAATGATCAGCATTAAAACTGACCAATAATTGTGCAAGTTAACTGATTTTTTTAAAAATAAATCAGACCATTAAAACCTTACTTTGACTCTCTGATTATGGTTATGTGGCTCTTTTTTGCTGAAGGTGCTTTTCTAGACTGACTGTTTTGTCCTCTCATTTGAATCCAATGTGTTAGAAGTTAACGAGTAATTATTTTAACCCTTTGAAATTTGTTACAGTTAGTTGAGAAAGTAGGAAGGACTTTCACTCATTTTGCTAATTCACAAATGTTCTTTGCAGACATATCTACGTTAAACGAGAGGAGAGGCTCATTTCAGACCACTGATGGTTCTAAAACTGCTAATTGGCTTGCAAGCAAACATCTCTTCATCAACCACTTGGAGCAGTTTGGTTGAAAAAGTTCTTTCAAGGCACAAAGTTCAAATTAAATGAAGCATTGTTCAGCATGCTGTCTCTTCTGAAATACACTCCCAAAATGGTTTCTAATAAGATGCTTGGGAAGACATAAAAATAAACCACATTTCTGATAAACACATGTATTACTTGAGAACAAAGTGTTGGTTGCTGAGTATGCACCTCTTCAAACCACTACCAACTCAAAAACTGAGTTACTGACCTGCTATCAAATGTTCCCAGATGCTATAACCACAACGATAATAACAACAACTGAAAATGTAAATCTCTCCTTGTACAGGTTAACACAACCGCTCTACTGATACCCTGGCTCATGGTCACTGCTAATAGCAGAGAAAAATCAAAGAAGATAAAAATATCTATTTGACCAAAATAAAAAAAAGATGGTGGAAGATAGTTTAACATCCTTATATAAAGAAAGGTGGCCTGTTTTAAACATAGCATTTGTAAGAGAGAATCAGTTGGTCTGTGTTGTCAACTGGAGATTTCAGGTCCACAGAGAGCAGAAACACATCTGAAATGAGGAGATAAAACGATTGTTTGTTTCCTAAACTGAAGCTTTGGGTTCTACCCCAGGAAGAACTGACCTTGTCAGTGTTTTGATCAAAACTCTTCTGGGGACAAAGGACCTTTAGAAATGCTGAAAATGTTCCTCCCTAGCCTTCTTTGCCCACTGTTTTTTGCCACCGCAGCAGCAAATGTAAAAAGCTGCAAGCTGAACACTTTGCATTACCCTAAAGAAGCCTTTTCCAAAACCAAGAGGTACTCAGTTTCCACAGCAGCTTCTCACTGATGCTGCACGGCCAACAACTGTGCCTGCCCCTTGCCAGCTCTGCAGGAGGGGAAGTGTCTAAGGCATTTGCCTACTTGGTTGGTGTGATCCTTGAAACATACATGAGGGAGAAAGATGTGTCTTTATGGATGACAAATGCCCAAGTGTGTGCTACAGCTGCACTGAGTGGTGTTACTCAAAGACAACCAAGCTACCTAGAAAGGATCTACCTT